AGAAAGGAGAGAGAGAGAGAGAGAGAGAAAGACAAAATGAACTGCATGACTCCATGACAGCCTTTCTGATACTTGAAGACAGTTAATTAATACCTTTTTAGAAATTTAATACCAACCACTCTTCTCTTTCAGCTTCAGAATCCTTGGTTCATTTAATACTTCCAAAGCTAGCATGGTTTCGAGAATAGCCTCATTTATCCTAGCCACTCCCTACCCTTCACACGTGTGGTCTAGAACAGGGTAGGCAAAACTATGGCCTTCTGCTTTTTTTTCTCTATGGCACTCAAAGAATGATTTTTATATTTTAAAAATCAAAACAAGTCCCCTTCATACCAACTCTTGTGAGGATACAGTAAAAAGATAGTTGTCAACAAGCCAGGAAGAAACAAGAAACTAACCTTGTTGACACCTTAATCTTGGACTTCTGGCCTCCAGAACCAAAAAAAAAAAAAAAAAAAAATCAAAACAAGACTATTTCATGACATATACAATTCAAACTTTAGTATCCATGCATACAGTTTTATAGAAATACAGTCACACTCTTTTGTTTCTATATCTTCTGGCTGTGTTGGCACTACTACAGCAGAGTTAAATAGCTGGGACAGAGACTATGTTGCTCACAAAAGCCAAAAATACTTATTATCTGGACCTAGTTAGAAAATGTTTGCCAACTTCTGGTCTCAAGCAGTGGTACTTAAAGTGTGGGCCTTGGATCAGCGGCCTCAGTATCACGTGGAAAACTGTCAGAAATGCAGATTCTCAGACCCCATCCAGGCCTACTGAATCAGAAACAGTTATAGCACAATCCAAATAAACATTGACAACCACAGTACGGTCTTTCTAAGCAAAATGTTTTCCTCATTACAATTCTATAAATAGGATATTTTCTTTATAAACTTATCAGGTGCAGCAATCTGTTTTACTCTGTTTAACAGCTATTGGTCTATATTAGTGTTGTCCAATAAAAATATGCAAGCCACATATGTGACTTAGTTTTTTTTTGTTGCTGGGTGCAGTGGCTCACAGCTGTAATCCCAGCACTTTGGGAGGCGGAGGTGAGAGAATTGGGTGCAGAGGTTTGAGACCAGCCTGGGCAACATGGCAAGAGCTCTCTATAATAAATCAAAAAATTAGCTGGGTGTGGTGGCACATACCTGTGGTTCCAAGTACTTGAAGGCAGAGGTGAAGAATCACCTAAGCCCAGCAGGGAGAGGCTGCGGTACCTGTGAGTATACCACTGCACTCCAGCCTGGGTGACTACTATTAAAAAATAATTTAAAAAAAGATAAATGAGTAAAATATTTTAACAAAAGTGTACTGGTGCTTGAAACTTTTAAGCACTGTTCCAACAGCAAACTACAGCCTTCCCTCATCCCAGCTCTGGGTTTAGCTGTTGTTCCTACAGCTGTTTGCCTGTTTCTGCGTATTCACTAGACTGTGCAAGTTCCATCTGGACAGAAGCTGGGGTTTTTTGCTCACTCTGATGTAACCCAGCATCTGGCACATACCTTCCTTTGAATAACAAATGTATACTCCTTATTACGATAGTTCTGATTTTCTGCACCAGAAAACGGCAGCACATAATGGAAACAATTGTGTTGCTATTCAGAACATCTGAATTCTAGTTTAAGCAAAATACGAAAATTACTTTTTCTTTAAACTTTACCCTTCAGGAATGTACCATTTACTGAGTTCCTAAGTTACTTCACACTTCCCAATTCAAATAAACATTAAATATAAGGTCAGGTGGGGGTGGGGTGGGGTCTGTGATCCGGTGCTGTGCAAAAGACACAAATAATTGCACAGAAATTATATTGGAAAACATGTTTATTTAGAAAGTAAATTGGAGATTCACCTCCCTAAAGTAGGAGAGGGGGCAAAAGCTTAGGTAAAAGCATAGCAGCCATAACTCAATGAATATGACCTAGCCAGAGCTTAACAAAAGCAATGGCCTCTACTGTTTGAGGCTGAAGCCCTTTTAAACCTTTTCTTGGATGGGGTTAGGTCGCTAAGGTGACTGGGTGGTGGTCTGTTTTACATAATCATGAAGCGACAGGTAGTCATGGTACTGATGTCAGGTGACAGACAACAGGCAGATGGGTAGGTTAGTCATCTGTTGCCAAGGTCAGATGCGGTCTGTGTCATGAAGGCCATAAAGGGCTGATTAGGGTAATTTGGTGTCTTATTGCTGAAGGCAAATACTTGGAATAGAAAAGCTAATTAATGCAAAACAAGCTGGCGAGGGGGCTGTAAAACAATTATCAATAACCCTGAGAAACCTGTTCTGTCCTTGGCTAGTGATTAGGGGGTAAATTAAAGTGAATTGCTAGAAAAACATGACAATGCTAAGCAATGTTAAAATGGCTACTATTTGGTTATACTGACTCCATCTTTTGTCCTTTCAATGAACAATCATAGTACATTCTTTCAAAGCAAAATACATAGGACTTCCTCATCTTAATTCTATGAGACAGGCTGCTCAGATCTTCTTTATGGACGAGGACTGACCAGCTGATAATCTCGTTGATGGCCTTGTCAGGCTTTGCTTCAGCTTTCTAGCCAAAATCACACTAATCTGGAGGTGGTCCCTAGCCAGTGACAACGCAGGCAAACAATAGTCTATTTCCACCCACCGTAGTGCTCTGCAGGCAGTCTTTGCTGGGAAGCTCCCTATTGGGTGGATGGCACCTTTGTCAGCTTTGCACCACTGTCAGCGTCCCCTTTTTTTTGCATCCTTCCTTTTCCTTTTGGTGGAGTTATGTTCTACACTCTACCATTTGCTCGCTGGAGAACGCTACCTGTGACAAAATCAAAGACTAGTTTGTTTTCAGTCTACTCTATTAAATTTACTCGCTCATCTAAACTCTGTTCAGTTAATAATGCTTGGCTGGTTTTTCCTCAAATGTGACATTTTGGTTTCATGTTCCCTAAAATATTTTAAACCTAGTACAGTACAATGATTTTGTTTCTTCACATAAACATTGTACTTTTACTAGCAAAACAAATTAGAGATGAGGTATATGTTACCCAGTCTGGTCTCAAACTCTTGGGCTCAAGCAATCTTCCCACTTCAGTCTCGCAAAGAGCTGGATTACAGATGTGAGCCACCACTGCCGACCTGATGACATATTTTAAAATATTAAGTATTGACTTAAATATATTTCACTGTACTTGGTAAAGATGTTTATTATCCCAGAAAAGCCTTAAGAGCTTTAAAATAGAAAAACACACCAAATCTTAATAGCACCATCTGGTGGTACTTAAATAGAACTGTTCACTACTCAATCACTATAAGGAAAAGCAGATCTTTTTATTCCCTATCACGTTTCTGTTCCTCTAATCTGAGCAAGGTTTTAAAATACGGCTAGGTTGGGTGCAGTGGTTCACATTGTAATCCCAGCACTTTGGGAGGCCAAGGCAGGAGGATCACTTGAGACCCTAAGTTGAGACCAGTCTAGCCAACATTGTGAGATGCCATCTCTGTATTTTAAAAATAATAAATTTTAAAAACAATAAAATAAAATATGGCCAAATTACAAAAAAAGTAACACTGAATCCAGCCTTTGAAGTTGATGAGTACATACAGGTCTTGTTTTTGTTTCTCAGAGCTTTGGAATATGGCAATCCCTTTTCTCCATACATCCCATTGCTGTCTATAATACAGATCACTACCTTGCTTTTTTCTTTGTTGTACTTATTAGTATTTGACAGTTTATAATCATTTTTAATCTGATTGACTTCCCAACAAGAATTGAAGCTCTCTGAAGGCAGAGTCTTTATTCATCTTACTTGCCATGACTTTTTGAATTAATCTTTTGTTTATATATTTTGAGTTAGAGTCTCACTGTTGTCCAGGCTTGGAGTGCAGTGGCATGCTCACAGCCACCACAGCCTCGACCTGCTGGGCTTAGGCGATCCTTCTGCCTCAGCCTTCCAAGTAGCTGGAACAAAAGGCATGCGCTACCACACCTGGCTTGTTTTTTTATTTATTGTAGAGATGAGGTCTCGCCAAGCTGCCCAGGCTGGTCTTGAAAACTTGGGCTCAGGAAATCCTCTCACCTCAGTCTCTCGAAGTCCTGGGATTACAGGCATGCGTTACTGTGCCTGGCCAATCTTTTTTTTTTTTAATTTTACCTAGTGAATGGCTATAATTAGATCAGCCCGAGAAAATTTTACTGTAAACTTAAACATGTTAGAGAAGAATGAATTGAGCCATTACAGAAGTGAAACCCATGGTTAGTCAGGGACAACTGAAAGGCCTGGCTAGAAAGAATTAGTGGAAGATTAGACTGGTCTAGAGATATTTTTACTATCTTCAAAATATATAAACTATTGAAAATAAATGCTGAAGGGGGACTTTCATTTAGCACAATCACACTGATAACTCTGACAGATACACAGCCCGTGCTTGAATATTTACAAAGATATGGGCCAAGTGTGGTGGCTCATGCCTATAATCCCAGCACTTTGGGAGGCCGAGGTGAGAGGATTACATGAGCTCATAGGTTTGAGACCAGCCTGGGCAACTTGGAGAGACCTCATCTCTACAATAAATCAAAAAATTAGCTGGGCGTGGTGGCACATGCCTGTGGTTCCAGCTATTTGGAAGGCTGAGGTGCAAGTATCACCTGAGCCCAGCAGATCGAAGCTGCATTGGCCGTGAGTATGCCACAGCACTTCAACCTGGGCCACAGAGTAAGACTCCAACTCAAAAAAAAGATATGGAGTTCCTAACTCTAGAGGCGTCCTTCCAACCATTTTTTTTTTTTTTTGGTAGAGGTAGAGTCTTGCTATATTGCCCAGGCTGATCTCAAACTCCTGACCTCAAGTTATCCTCCTGCCTCTGCACCCAGGTCTCAGCCATTGTACCTGGCCTCTGTCCACCATATTTTGAAACCATAAGCTATAAAAAGTAGGTAAAGAAAGTCACAAGATGGGACCAAATGATTTAAAGACCAAAAACTTAATACTATCAGTTAAGTAACAAATATAAAAGGTGCTAATTAGAAAAATTATTTATTTCCGTTCCTTTCATACATCTTATTTTTCAGGAAACAGCCTTACATACATATCTGAAATAATGTGCTATCACATACTCTGTTTAAAGGCAAAGCACCTTGGTAAAGCTGATCAGCTGTCCAGAGTTCTCAGCTTATGGAATCTTGCTTCCTGATTATATTAATTTCTGAAAACCAGAACTGTCACCTCCAAAAAATGTTAAAGGGGTTGTAAAAAATAATCACTTTATTCAATATTATAGATATGGAGTATATTTTCTTTAAGATATGAAAAACTAAGAAGAAAATGCCACTTAACATTGTTGCTACAGTACAGGTCAGCAGGAAAAAATACTGTGATAAACTTGTCTCTTTGATACCAAGAAGAAATTGTAGTCCAAGCTTTCAAACGTTTCCTATGTTTTCGCTAGATATTTCGTTTTCTGCTACTCTTCATTCTCTTCCACATTTCATATTAGACGATTGGTATAGCCTTTAAAACTACATTATCAGGAACAAATCCAGTATCCATAGATTTCTTCTCAAAAGGCACTCTAACCCATCAGATAGCCCCTGTAGAAATAAAATTAGAAGCACAAAAAGTGAAAAGGAAGCAGCATTTCAAAGTGCCCAAACAAATGTTATGACACATCACATGACAATCTAAAAATATAATTGTGATCCTTCATTACAGATTATGGCTCTTACCTCATATCTTGAACCCTTCATCCCAATATATATAAATCACTGGGCTTCAGTTCTATTACACTTACCCTTTAAAGTATAAAGTTACAAAGCAATATGCTAAACATAGAATAAGAAAAAGAAGAAGAGAAAATGCTATGTAAAAGTTAAACTTAACAGTCAGAATCAATCTACTTTGGACTCTCAGAATTGCAACAAAAGTCAAACCCTATTTTTTTTAAGTTGCAATCTCACTCTGTTGCCCAGGTTGGAGTGCAGTGGCACGCTCAAGGCCACTGCAGCCTTGACCTGCTGGACTCAGGCGATCCTTCCACCTCAGCCTTCCAAGTAGCTGGAACCACAGGCATGTGCCACCACGCCCGGCTAATTTTTTGATTTATTGTAGAGATGAGGTCTCTCCAAGCTGCCCAGGCTGGTCTCAAACCCCTGAACTCAGGCAATCCTTAATACTCTCTTCTCCTCCTCCCAAAGTGCTGGGTGTAAGCCACTGCACCTGGCTAAAATCAAATCTTTTAATAGAAAGACATTGGTTTGGATTTCTAAAAACTTTACTACAACCAGAGTAGAAGGTAGGAGAATAGGGAGAAACAGTGTACAGAAACATCTTCTATACCTTTGTTACTTTAGGAAATGTCTGGATGGCAGTTAGGAACTTTAGCTGCATCTGCTGATCAAGTCAAACTTCATGCTGATCTCATAGGAGATCCTTTTAGTAAATGTACATGTTAGGCTCTGAAATCCCCTTAAATTAAAGCAATAGGTTTAGTGTTATAAAGTTCTAAGCCTTTCTTTTTGCAATAGACTCTTGAAGTCTATTATTAATTAAGGATCTACAGGATCAGGAGAAAAAGCATGTAAAAGTATCTTCTTTAAGAAAGGATCTAATATACCTGTACTCACTGATGCCTTCAGAATGCCTCTACTTCTGACCCTGCCTCTACCATTTATTGGGTAAGCCTGGGCAAACCTCACTCAGTTTCTTCATCTGTAAAATAGAGATACCTCAAAGAATTTTCAGAATTATATAAGATAATTTACTTATATAGTATTTGCTACCATGGTAATAAGCACTTGACAAATGTTGGCTGCAATTATTAGAGTCTTAAATTTCTTCATTGGTAAGGTAGGGTTTAAAAACTACTTTATTTAACACTGAGGTCTACCCCAGCACTTGACCTATAGCAATCACTCAAGAATATGATTTTCCTCCCTTTCAGCTTCTGATTCTCTACACAACTTAGATCTACGTACTGCAGTGCCATCTACTGAGAACTCATACACTTTTCCTTCTGCTGTACCAGCCTGGCCAAGTAAAGAGAACTTTCATCTAACACAACCACCTCTATAGCAACTCTAAAAAGACCTAACGCTTCTCATCTTCCCTACCTCCAAAAATGAACAAAAATTTAAAAATAGAAGCATTCTTTGGTCTTCTTTGAAGACCCATATAAATTGGTTACTATAATGTCTGATGCTTCACAAAAAGGACACTTTTTTTGTTGTTTTTTTGTTTTTGTTTTTGAGTTGGAGTCTCACTCTGTCGTCCAGACTGGAGTGCAGTGGCCGCTCCCGGCCACCACAGCCTCGACCTGCTGGGCTCTGGCGATCCTTCCGCCTCAGCCTTCCGAGTAGCCGGAATTACAGGCATGCGCTACCATGCCCAGCTGATTTTTTGATTTATTGTAGAGATGAGGTCTCGCCAAGTTGCCCAGGCAGGTCCCAAACCCGCGGGCTCAGGCAATCCACTCACCTCAGCCTCCCAAAGGCGCAGGATTACAGGCTGAGCCACCGAGCCCGGCAAAAGGACATTTTAAAACCTAAGCTTCACAAGAAAAAAAAAAAAGGTTCAAGAAGAGTTTAAGCAAGTATCCACTCATATCTGTACATTGAAAGATACCCAACCAACAGCAACCTTACACTATGAAACAAAGGTCCTAAGGACTCTAGGAATAGTTTCCTGTCATCTGCATACCCTGATATATGAATATGCACTGTGGACCTCTATCTCTCAATTCAGTTATATATACTGTGTTATTCTTCCTTACAACTAGTGTGTGACCTACACGTATGCACTATAACTCCATGGATTATCAGCGATCTTATTTATTTATTTATTTAGACAGGGTTTTATTCTATTACTCAGGTTGGAGTTCAGTGGATTATTATCGGTCTTATTTATTTATTTGGACAAGGTTTCACTCTGTCATCCAAGCTGGAGTGCAGTGGCACAATCATAGCTCACCACCATGAACTCCTAGGCTCAAGTGATCCTTCTGTCTCAGCCTCCCGAGTAGCTCGGATTACAGGCATGCACCCCCATACCCAGCTTATTTTTCTGTTTTTTTGTAGAAATGGAGTCTCACTTTGTTGGCCTGGCTGGTCTCAAGTGATCCTCCTACCTTGGCATACCAAAGTACTGGGATTACAGGTATGAGCCACCACAGTCAGCCTGGAAAAGAATATTTAAATAAACATACCTACTCACAGTTACAAAACTCATACATAGTCCTACCTTAAAAAAAATTTTAGGCATACTAAGAAATATAGTTGGTCAACAAGGGTCACTGCAAAATGAACATTTGTATACTTAACCCTGAATTGTACTCCACATCTTTAAAATAAAAAAATTAAAATTAAAAAAATATACATAGTTGAACACAGTAGTTCACGCCTATAGTGCTGGCATTTTGGAAGGCCAATGCAGGAGGACTGCTTGGGGTCAGGAGACCAACCTTGGCAACAACGCAAGACCCCGAAATAAAAAATATACGGAAAAAATGAAAAATTAGTCAGATGTGGTGGCACATGCCTATAGTTCCAGATACCCAGGAGGCTGAGGCAGAAGGATTGCTTGAGACCAGGAGTTTGAGATTACAGTGAACTATGATCTCACCACTGCACTCCAGCCTGAGCAACAAGGCAAGAGCTCACGTCTAAAATTAAAAAAAGAAGGAAAATAAAGAAATATTATATTATAATACATGATAAGAAAAAAAGGAACAAATAAATTACTCTACTTCTTGGTAGGGAATAAAAATAAAATTGTTGAAATACATTACCATAGTTTCTCCTGGAATCATTTAGTTTCCTCTCATGGCTCAGAAAATTTCATAATCTCATAATCTTTAATTATTATATTCAGGACTGTGAGAATTTTATACAAGTAAAATTATAGATAAATACAATCAAAGTAAATCAAGAACTCAAAAATTAAGGAGAAGCCACCATGAAGGATTTTGTTTTTGAGTCAGGGCCTCACTTTGTCACCCAGGCTGGAGTGCAGTGGAACAATCATGGCTCACCATAGACTCGATCTTCTAGGCTCAGGCAATCCTTCCACTTCAGCCTTTCAAGTAGCTGGGACTATAGGCACACACCACCACATCTAGCTAATTTTTAAATTTTTTTTTATAAAGACAAGGTCTCACTATGTTGCTTAGGCTGGTCTCAAACTCCTCAGCTTAAGCATTCTCCTGCCTCTGCCTCCCAAAGTGCTGGGATTATAGGCATGAGCCATCACACCTGGCATAGGATCTTCTATTTAACCTTTATTTTAAGGCATTCATTTTCTAAATAATCACTGAGTGCCCTTTGTATATTAAAGCAGGCACTGTGCTAGGTAGGCACTAACATAAAAATTTTTCAAAATACTAGGACATGACTTATTGCATCTAATCCTTGTAACAGCTCTAAAAAAGTATTTTTCTCACTTTCCAGTTGAAGAGTGTAAGACTGCTGGGGAGTTAAGTGGCTTGCTGAAAATCACAAGGCCAGAAAGGAACAAAACTTGCATTAAAACACAAGTCTCCTCACTCCTGGGTATACTACCTTCTTCAGTTATCCTAGAAATGGAAATTTCACTTTCTTCTTTCAGAAACAGCCATGGTTTATTTATTTATTTTTGAAACTGTGGCCAGAATCCAATATGAAACACAGAGCTTTTAGGATTCTGTTTATCTTTAGAATGAAAACACTAATAGTAATATTATGCCTGAGAGCACATAAGACACCTTCTCATTTAATCTTGATGGTAACTCTCTGAGGTATATTATTTACATCATTCAACAGGTTTGGAACCTGAGGGTAAGAAAGTGCACACAACTAATCCAAAGTGTCAGAACTAATAAATGGCAAGCCCAACATGGAGCTCCGAATCCCTCCCTTTCTCGACTACACAATGCCCTCAGCAGCTGTGCAAATGTTTTGTTTCTTTAGAATTACCTCTCTCATTTGCTAAAAATGAAACCTGGATATGAGACTTTACTCACTGAAACAACCCAGATGCCAGATTCTCTATAGTCTTAATTCTCTAGAATATAGCTCCAAATCTGGAAGCAAAGGAAAGAAATTCTCAAACATCTGCAAAGATGGCTTCAATGACAAGCCATTAAACTTGCCTACAGCCAGGTCTGATTTAAAAGTCAATAAAATAACTTGATTATCTATTTCCTCAAATCACAGAATAACCAGCAAACTGAAAAGAGGAGGAAGGAAAAGATGAAATTACAGTAGACGTACACTAATAACAAGAAGTGACAGGTTACACTGAGGAAGTAAACTAAAAAAATGTGAAATAGTATTATATATTAAGATAAAGGAAAAATTATGCTTAAGGCTTGCAGTATAATAGCAATACTAGTGTCAAATAATATATATTTGCTAAATAAAATGTATTAATATGGCAATACAACATAAACACTTAAGAAAGAGATCTGTCAAAAGTGAATAATGTTTTAGTACTGACAGGGCTAAATTTCAGTTACATGGAAGAATCACATATATGCATCATGTCATTCTAATTGATACTAAGTATTACTATGTTTTTATTTTTATTTTTCATTTGCCTTCTTCCTTTGAGCTCCCTAGCTTTCCTCATCAGACTTAAATAAAAAACTATTTAGCAATTCAAATTGCTAAAAGGCCAGTTTTGTCAGTCTGATAAAGTAGGCCTTTTGTTCTCCACTATGTAATGGTATCTATTTAGAGTAGCTTCACACAGCTTTATAACAGACTTGCCAGACGTGGGAACCCATTCTTCCACCTCCAATCCAATACCTTGCCAGATTTTAGGCTATTACCACACCACCACCTTTTATCTTTTTCCATTTTAAAGAGTTGGCTTTACGTTAATACTACCCCAACACTGGACGTCAAAGACAGTTTAAGGATCGTTCATTATTTTTCAGAAGAATCAAGTACTAACTTGTATCAGTCTTCCACCTAGTACCCAAACATTGTATCTTTGAGCCTATGTATGTTTAAAGTATATTGAATACAGATACACGATTTCACAAAAAATTGCTCCTTTGAAATTTTGTACTAATAAAAATATTGGCGACTAAAATTTAATTTTTCATTTTAAGTGTATTGCTATGTATGCAAATAATTATTTTATTAGAGTGTCCATTTCTTCAAAAGTCAAAGCAGCAAATGAAATTATGTCTTAATTAGTAAAATTATATCAATAAGGAAGACATCAAGTCTTTAAAGAAGCATAAATCAAACTAGTAAGAATAATAGTGATTCAGTGCTACTGCTTTTTCCTTTTCGTTTATTTTATTTTTGAGTTGAAGTCTCACTCTGTCGCCCAGGCTGGAGTGCAGTGGCATGCTCACAGCTACCACAGCCTCAACCTGCTGGGCTCAGATGATCTTTCTACCTCAGTTGGAACTACAGGCATGCACCATCACACCCGCTAATTTTTTTTTTAAGGTAGATTTATTAAAGACAGAAATACACTGTAAGATAGCATTGGGTAGTACAGCAGAGACAGGCAGTCTGTTGTCTGCCCCAGCTAATTTTTTTATTTATTGTAGCGATGAGGTCTCACCTAGGCTGGTCTCAAACCCCCTGAGCTCAGGCAATCCCCTCGCCTTGGCCTCCCAAAGTGCTGGGATTACAGGAGTGAGCCACTAAGCCCGGCTTTGCTTTCTACTTTTTAAAGGTAATATCTGATTTGCGAAAGAGAATTCCATCCTCGAGTTTATCATGATGCATCTTATGATACAGCCATCCTTGATCTCAGATACTAGAAACTTAGTTGATTTGGAAAACCAGTGGCTATGGGTGTTTTTTAAACATATTTTTGCTGCTGTTGTTATTCTACTCACTATAATCAAACTGTTGGGACAGCAAAGATAATTAGTGTGAAAGAAGAAAGACATGCAGCTTCCTTGCTGGCAATATCAACCACAACCCTGTTGTATGCAATACGCAGGCCAACAGCCCTTGCTCATCACCTCCTTTGGGACCTGCAAAATATTCCAGGAAAGGCATTACCGCTGCTTCCCTTTCTTATGTGAAACTGTCCCTTGTTTCTCACACTTGAGGCACTGGGCATAAGGAGCTAGAGATGAGAAATGAATTAAAGAAGGAGCCACAAAGTCATTCCTCTTAATAATTCAGCTCCCAGGTTTAGCTGCATGCCAAGCTACAGAAAGTGGTAATTTTCTATTTGGACTGTCGTCCTGCTTTGGTTAAACCTAACATAAGCTACAACTGAAACCCAGAGAGTATATCCTTTTGCTCTACCTTCAAGCTTGGATTAAGTGAAACAATCTTACATATTCCTAGCCTGTAGAATGGGGATAATTAGACAAATGTTTACATTAATAAAAATAATTGCAAATGTAAGATGAAGGTAATCCAGAGAATGAAACACGTGCCAATGAGAACAAATCTGGTTCTAGAAGCAAAACCAGGTCGCTTTCTCTGTTTTTCTACACACCTCCAAAGACTTTTTCTGTTTTGGTATTAATTTTTTTTTTTTTTAGGTTGGAGTCTCACTCTGTCATTCAGACTGGAGTGCAGTGGCATGCTCACAGCCACTGCAGCTTCAACTTGCTGGGCTCAAGCAACTCTTCCAGCTGAGCCTTCCAAGTAGCTAGAACTACAGGCGAGCGCCACCACGCCTGGCTAATTTTTTATTTATTGTAGAGATAAGGTCTCATCAAGTTGCCCAGGCTGGTCTCGAACCCATGGGCTCAGGCAATCCTCTCACCTTGGCCTCCCAAAGTGCTGGGATTATAGGCATGAGCCACCATGCCCAGCCTTGGTATTAATTTGTATTTTTATTTATTTATTTTTCTTTGCTTTCCTTTTCTCTTTTTGTTAAGAGATGGAGTCTATGTTGCCCAGGCTGGTCTTGAACTACTGGGCTCAAGCAATCCTTCCACCTTGGCCTTCCAAAGTGCTGGGATTATAGACATGTGTCATCATGCCAGGTCTATTTATTTACTTATTTATTTATAAACAGGGTCTCACTTTGTTGCCTGGGCTGTTCTCTAACTCCTGGGCTCAAGTGATCCTCCCGCCTCAGCCTCCCCAAAGTTCTGGAATTAAAGGTGCAGGAGGAGCGGAGAAATGGAAAATCACCTATCAGGTACAACGTGCACAGATGGAGGTGATAGGTACACTTAAATCCCAGACTTCTTTGCCACTCTTCAATGCAACTATGTAACCAAAAACTACTTGTATCCCCTAAAGCTACTGCAATAAAATAAAACATCAAAAATTAAAAAAATAAAGTGCTGGGACTACAGGTGTGAGTGTGCCCAACCTCGGTGTTCATTTTTAGTAGCTTCCTCATCCTCTCTGGGAGCCTCCTCTTTTCTTGCTCTCCTACAGAAAACTTTAGTCTCTTCCATACCCATATACCTTACCGGGCTAGGTGACTTATTTCCAACAGGAGCAGAAAAAGAAGAGGCTGGAGTACCTAAGTCTTCACAAATTTAGCCAACAGCCAGAACTGCATTCCCCAGATGAAAATAAGAACCACTGGCAGAGACTAAGGGGCTATATGGCCACAGAGATAGTCAGTGGACAAAGAACCCTGTGCTATCCCTTCCCATCCTGCCAGGGCTAACATGGAAAAGTGATGATTGTGGGATAAGCACTTCAGACATTCTAGGAGAAGCCTGCCCACTATACCCAAGATGTGTTACAATGAACAGGGTAAGCCAAAGAGAGAATGAACTTGTAAAATTTAACCACGCTAAGAAATAAGTAGAGTTTACACTTGATGTTTAACACAGTAAAAAATAAAATTACTAGGAGCAAATCTTCATATTATACTTGGTCAAAAAAATCTTCATATTACACTTGGCCAATAGTTACTAATGCACCCATAGGTGACATTAGAATATATGGGAATGTGATTAGACGTATCCATATTTCAAATTAATGATTGTAAATGGAATTAGAAAAGGTGTCATAAAACCAATTTATTTCTCTTTTAAAGATATTGAAAGTTTTCTGAGTCAAAATGGACTTTAAGACTGGGCATGGTAGCTCACACTCGTAATTCCAGGACTTTGGGAGGCCAAGGCGGGAGAACTGCTTGAGCCCAGGAGTTCAAGACTAACCTGGGCAACATAGTAAGACTTCGTCTCTAAAAAAAAATTAAAAATTAGTCGGACATGGTGACGCCTGCCTGTAGTCCCAACTACTTGGGAGATCGGGGCCAAAGGATCGCCTGAATCCAAGAGGTCGAGGTTGTGGTGAGCTACGACTGTGCCACAGCACTCTAGCCTGTGAGACTCCAACTCAAAGAGAAAAAATTTGAAAATATTCACTACTATTAATACTACTGGAATCCTATGTTACAGAAAACCAAAAGGTATTTTAGAGAAACAATTAATAACTATCTTCAATCAGTGATGCTGAGACAAAATAACTAAATTTTCTCATGAACACACATGAGGATTACAGCCAAAAAAGACTCACTGGTTCAATTTTGTTATTAAGAATAGCTACCACCTTGAGCAAGGCACACATTTCTTTGGTTCTTGGATTTTTCGCCTGTTTAAATGAAGGTTAAATTAAGTCTCCTATGATTTTATGTTGTTCAGGTAATCACTTTACTAATTTACAACATAAGTTAAATTGTTGGTTACACAAATAACTTACGGCAGTTTCATCCTCATGAATACTCTAGCCATGAAAAAACTCAATAGGACACAGACGAATCCAATGAATAGAAGAAGAAATCTATTGAGTTTTGGAATATTTGGTGCATTGGATCGGTCCAGGATTATGAACCCCAAACCTCCCATTGTAAACAGGAAGCTGGAAGCAAGTCCTTCCATAATATATTGTCCATTTACTCTGAAAAAGAGAAGAATGACCACAGCAAAACAATAAATAAGAACGTCCAGAACAATGAAAAAATTTTTCCCTTCAGTTGAAATTTCTGTTCTGCTTTGTGCTAAAATTTTTTGTGCTAATTTTTTATTCTTACCCTTACAAATATCTTACACCTCTGGATATTCATCTGTTCTTTCAACAAATATTTGAGAGATACAATAAGGAATAGGCAAAAATCTTTGCCTTCACGGAGTTTACATGAAAAAAAATTTCAAAACCTCAATTAACACAACTGTCTATGTAAAATAAATACTCATATTTTAATTAGCAAAGAAAGGCCAAGTATTTAATGTATATGAACTCTTTACCCATTTAGCTTTTCAAAGTTATGCCATTTAGAGTACTACTATAAATTTCAAACTAATTTTGAATTGGTTAGAAATTTCTTTTTTTTTTTTTGAGTTGGAGTCTCACTGTCTCCCAGACTGGAATGCAGTGGCCGCTCCCAGTCACTGCAGCCTCAACCTGCTGGGCTCTAGCGATCCTCCGCCTCGGGCTTCCAAGTAGCTGGAACTACTTACTCACCTTGGCCTCCCAAAGCACAGGGATTATAGGCTGAGCCACCGAGCCTGGCCAGTTAGAAATTTCTTAAAGTTTTATGGTAATAATAAACTTCTTGCTTCAAAGGGAAATATCTTAAAAGCAAACATTTTTAAATAAGGCTTCATGAACCCGACAAGGACTTCAGTGAGCTATAAACCTTTAAAATTCTATGCAAGTGTGTGTGTGTGTGTGTGTGTGTGTGTGTGTGTATATGTGTTTATGTGCGTGTACATGCCCACGGGTTTGAGACCAGCATGGAAAACTTGGCGAGACCTCATCTCCACAAAAATCAAGAAAAATTAGCCAGGTGTGGTGGCGCGTGCCTGTAGTTCCCGCTACTTAGAAGGCTGAGGCAGAAGGATCATCTGAGCCCAGCAGGTCGAGGCTGCGGCAGCTGTGAGCATGCCACTGCCCTCCAGCCAAGGCAACCGAGTGAAACTGACTCAAAAAAAAAAAAAAAAAAACCTATATATGAACCAGGTTCAAAATTTTAAAAATATAAAACAAGACCCTATAAAGGTCTCTCCAAACCACACGAAGACTCCCTGTTATTTAGCTCCCCTCCCTGCAAAGAATCAAAATAAATCTTTCCAAGAATATGCTATGTATAAGTAGCATTACAGTAAATTTTAAATATAAATATATAGCCAGGTTTAAGTAGATATTTATCAAGTAGATTCCAGAAAACAACATGATAAGCATTGTTCTGGTGAACCAAACCACACTGGAATGATGCTTCACTGCTGGAGTGAAACGCTTAAGTCTCCAAAATGATTTTCGGCATTTAATGACATAATCTAGGGGTCCACAAACGTTTCTTAAATGCCCACTTAGTAAATATCTTAGGCTTGCAGAACATATGGTTTGTGTCATTAACTCAGCCACTGTAGCTGAACCATATAAACAAATGGGTGTGCCCAATTCCAATAAAATTTTATTTACCAAAAAAAAAAAAAAAAAACCCCACAAGTGGCTATTGTTTGCTGACCCTCAGAACAGTCTATATATGTATTTTAAATTGATACCCTCCTTTAAATTGGTAATACGTCAATCACTGTGAAATACTCTATTTCCTAATAAACGGGAAATGTACTTTAACTTGCTCTTGCCTCACTTCTTGCCATTTCAGAATTCACATTTTACTTTATTTTTTTAAAGACAGGGTCACCCAGCCTGGCACACAGTAATGCAATCAAAGTTCACAGCAGCCTTGACCTGTTGGGCTCAAACAAGCCTCCTGCCTCAGCCTCCCAAGTAGCTGGGACTACAGGTGTGTGCCACCATAACCAGATTAAAAAATTCAGCATTTTAAAATGGCTGTTGTCTAAATACAGATGAATAGGTTTTATTCTATTTTTAAATAACCAGGCATACCTAAGCAACCATCCTTTGCACCACCAAGTCATTAAAAAAGGTATCTCTTACCTGTAGGCCAAGAAAGCTACTGGTCTCTGATGCCCATGTTCATCAGTCATAGAGCCAACACTTGGAGGTTCAACAATAACATCATAAATTATTCCTATATGAAAGATAATAATACAGATTATATTAGATTCCTAATTTTTAAAAAGAGAATTATAGATCTCATTGTTTCTAAAGGATCACTTATTTTTACATAGGACCATTTTGATTGTATTATTATAATCAGATGAAGCCCAACTAATGTAAGTTTCTAAAAAAAATTCAGATATTTAAGTCAATGTTTTATTTTTCATTTTTAAAATTATTATATTTTTGAGTCAGAGTCTCACTCTGTTGAACAGGCTAGAATGCAGTGGTACGCTCAGGCTACCGCAGCTTCGACCTGCTGGGCTCAGGCAATCCTTCTGCCTAAGCCTTCTAAATAGCTGGAACTACAGGTGAGTGCCACCACACCTGGCTAATTTTTTGATTTATTGTAGAAAAGAGGTCTCACCAAGTTGCCCAGGCTTGTCTTAACCCCTGGGCTTAGGCATCCTTTTGTCCCCATCTCCCAAAGTGCTGGGATTACAGGCATGAGCCGTAGCACCCAGCCTTTTCTTTTTTTTTTTTTGAGTCAGAATCTCACTCTGTCACCCAGGCTGGAGTGCAGTGGCACCATTAAGGCTGCTGCAGCCTTGACCTGCTGGGTTCAGGAGGAGATCCTCCTGCCTCAGCCTTCCAAATAGCTGGGACTACAGGCGGGCACTACCATGCCCTGCTAATTTTTTTCATTTATTGTAGAGACAAGGTCTTCCTGTGCTGCCCAAGCTAGTCTTGAACTCCCGCACTCAGGTAATCCTCTTGACTCAGCCTGCCAGAGTGCTGGGATTACAAGCATGAGCCACCACGCCTGGGCTCAAGTCAAAGTTTTAGAATTACTTATAAAATAATTTTATCTCTAAAAGAAGTACAAATTGTTTGTAGGAAATTCATTCAATAACAGTTGCTAATACTCAAGAATGACTCTACAGTAAAAAAAGATTTAACATTAAAGGCTGTGTTTTAGTTCATGAAAATGTTGTATGTATCCTGGGATTAGTATAAATTGAAAGGTATTCAGAGAAACTGCTGAAATGTAAAACAAGGAGACATTTTAAAATAACACTCTCAGGTAGACTGGTAAAACTAGAGGTTCATAAACATGAATGCTAATATCTATCATTATGTCATAATATCATCACGATCATTCACATTAATGGTCATCAACATCCTTGTTACTGTTTCTCAATCTCCCACTGTCAGCATCTACTCTTTACCCTTTCCACTGTTCTCAAACATCCTTATCTCCACTGTTCTTAACTGTAACAAGCCCTTGTCCTCCTCATCTTAGTATGACAATCACATAGGAATTCCCTTCTTTGCTTCCCACCAAATCTACAAACTCCTGGTACCTACATCTGTCCTTGCCTCCTCCCTTGAAGCTACACTGGAGGAAGAATCCCTCCTCCTATCAATATAGGATGCCTTCTGCAATCATCAGGACTCCATTTTCTCTTGCCTTCAGGGGCTTTATTCTTTTGGATATCTCTTCTCTCTCCTGTATTTTCAAGCTCTCCTTCCCTTTATCAACCCACCCTTAACTTCAGATAACACATCCTATTTCTAGTCTTCCTTTCTGAAAGGGAGTCAGGCTTCCTTATAGAATGAATTAGGCAAGTTTGCCACCTCCTCTTCCTTACTTACCCTTCATTCTTCAACTCACTACAATCTGGCTTCTGCCACCGTTCATACTGCTCTTGTTAAGGTTGCCAGTGACCTCCATGTTGTCAAATTCAATGGACACTTTCAGTTCTCATCTTAAGAGGATTCCCAGCAGTATTTAATCTAGTGTTACTAATTACATTTTTCTTGAAAAACACCTCTAGCCTGTAATCCCCGCACTTTGGGAGGCTGAGGCGAGTGAATTGCCTGAGCCCGCGGGTTTGAGACCCACCCGGGCAACTTGGCAAGACCTCGTCTCTACAATAAGTCAGAAATTAGCTGGGCGTGGTAGCATGCGCCTGTAGTTCCGGCCACTTGAAAGGCTGAGGCTGAAGGATCGCCAGAGCCCATCAGGTTGAGGCTGCGGTGGCCAGGAGCGTGTCACTGCACTCCAGTCTGGGCGACAGAGTGAGATTCCAACTCAAAAAAAACCAAAAAAAAAGTGGCAAGAAAACATGGAGTATCACAAAAGCCATAAGAGGTGTAGCTACCAAATTGGACTCTTGATCCCACATTTGCCCTGCTTTTCCCTCTGCCTAGCATACCCTTTCCCTCAACCCTTCAGATTTTGACTTAGATGTCATTTCCTCAGGGTCCACGTTCCAATCTAAAAGATGCTCCCAACTTCCACTGTTTTCTCATAACCTCTCATTCTTTTCCTTCATTGTATTCGTGACAATTTTTAATAGAAAAAAGTTATATTTAACACGTCTCAACCATGATATTATAAGCTTCAGGAGAGCTTTGTTTCTTCGTGTTTTGTCCAATTACCTCCAGTACCTAGTGCCTGGAACTTATTAGGGACTCAATACCTATTTGCTGACTATTTCTCAGCAATATTGTTTATTTATATAGGTGTACTCACAGTTTTTAGAAGAGAATCCTTCTCTCTCAGTGGCAAAACCAATTCCTTATACAAGATACCTCATGGACTTGGCCAATAAAAGGTGTCCTTTCCACTTTCCCCCAGTGGTTGGGGCAGGTGAAAGGGAGCCAGACTGAAAGCTAAGGTCTCTCGCAAAGGATCTGACTTCACGGGAAGTAAGGGCTTCGGCAAAGAGAGTGGCAGATGAAGACTCTACTATTCATTTCTTTAAAAGCCATATGCATTTTTAATTATTTAGTCAATACAGTAGATATTAACATGCTGAACAAAGATTAATGTTAATGCAATACTAGATAATATCCTACAAGCATAAAATATATTTAAAATGCAATTTATTTAAATAAACACAAGTCAACTGTCAGTATTCTAGATTGTAGGAAGGGGTAAATTCAAAGGTATGTTCTAGAACTAAGCCCTCTCAGTTTCATAGTCTTCCTTCTTCAGTGCCAAGTATTCTTGCAAACATCTATGAAAATAACAATTATATGGCTACCCCCTTAAAATTAGAACCATTTTGCTGTCCCTAATCCGTCGGGCTTTAATTTTATCATTTCCAAATTAAGTATACCACTTCCCCATATCTAAATGTACACAGCAAATCTAAATGTTACTCAGCACAATCCTGGGAACTGTGGCTTGAAAGGGTAGTGGCTCTGAAGTGGGACTGCCAACTCACCAAGATGCAACACCCCTCTGCAATTTTCTATTTGAAAAGGACAGGATGCTATGAAAGCGTTCAATAGTAATGCTAGTTTTCTTGTTTTTAAATTCTCAACTTCTGCCCTCCGAAACACAGTATCTTCTGCAAATCTCTTCTCCAATCTCAAGTTATTTCGCAAAACGGCGGTTTCGGAAAACTCCATTCACATTTATTGTAGATCATGTAAAAAGCAACACAGGACCCTTCGGTTTGAACCAACAAACCTAAAGGCTGTCGAATCCCTTCCAAGGCTCTAGCGACCGTAGACAAAGACTGGTTAAAAGTCCCACACACTCTTGACCAACCATGGAAGAAGCAGAGTGGGCCAAGCTAGAGTTGCCAATCACCCTCGTCGGACAACGTATGGGAAGCAATAAAAAGAGCAACGATCTCAGCTTGAAAAAAATATTATTTGACTCGGATCCCTGGGATAAGAGGCTAGAAGGAGAGGAAAGGTAAAGGGAGGGAGAACATGAGTTCGCTCAAGAGACGGGACAGGGCGTGAGGGCAAATAAAGCTGGACGTGAACGCTCGGGGCCCCAGAACTTCCCTCCACCCTCAGAAAAGATCCAGAGTGGAGCGATGCTGCCCCAGGGCTGAGTCCGCGGAACAGACGCCCCTCCCGGACGGGTCAGCTATCGCCGCCTCAGCCTCTCCGGCCCCAGGCAGCCCGAGTTACCTCCGGTGATGAGGAAGTAAGACACCACCACCAAGGCATACACCGTCATGGCCGACGGCATGTGCACCCAGGGCGGCTTCTTCAGCTTCAGGTTGGGACATTCCAGCACTAAGAACGGGACTCGATACAAAGTCTCCATATTGGTGGCAGGAGGGGCAGCTCCCGACCTCAAGCCCTACGCGCCTCCCGGAAATACGCCCGCCCTCTCCATCACCCGCGCGTGCGCGGGGAAAGGGACCCCGCAAATCTGTAAAGCTCTGAAGGAGTTTGGACGCTTGTAGAAGATAATAAGAAACTAAATAAAACAAATCTATATATTTTACAAGAGTAATGACAGAAATTATTTAAGTTGAAATAAAAGACTGAGATTTTTGCCAATGGACAATAATCTCTTTATATACCTTCAAGGACCTGCAGGATTTCAAACGTGTCCAAGCCCGAGATGCAGAGGCAACGGAATCCATCGGCTCCCCTCCCACTTGCCGACGCACGGGATTTGGAAGCTGATTGGACGCGAGACGCCCTAGGTTCCCAGGGCTGGAGGGTGAATGGGAACGTTTGGCTAAAGCTGCCTTTTCTATTAGCGGTTTTTTTCAAGGGATTGAGGAAGTCCTAAGTTGCTGAGCTTTTACTTCTCGATATAGCAGTGGTGATAATAATAATTATTATTATTGTTAATAATTGCTAAGCTATATATTTTTTCAGTTAAAAAAATCCAGCACGGATCACAGATGTCAACAGAGCAACGCCACAGAGATGACTTAATGATGATTTCTTAGCCATGACCAAAATATTATTCTGAATAACCATTGTCTTCTTCTCAGCTTGCTCCCCACCTCTATTATCCTTATGTCAGTAAATGGTAAAATCACTCTGGCGAAAAATCTTGAGGTCATCTTGATTTCTCTCCTTTTTAACCTCCTCCATCCAAAACATCACCAGGTCGCTTTAACTGCTACCAAAATGTCTCATTCACCTACTTCTCTCCATTGCTCCGCTGCCACCTGTGTGAGCCACCATCATCTCTAACCCTAAGCTGCATTTACAGTCTAAATGAGTGAAAATATGTGTTGGAGAATTAGTCTTGGGATGGCATAGATGATCCCCAGAGTCTTATTCTCCTAGGCACTAGGAATATACATGAATATACATGAATCTTAGATTATGGACGGGCCACTAATAACACCAGTAATGAAGTGTACTACACCAGAAACATTTATGTATAGGAAGCTTTCCTGGGGACAATAAAGCAGAATGCTTCTGAAGTTCCCATAATTTTATAAGTAAGGAAAACCTTGAAACAATTAAAAATATGTTGTCTACAAAAAATTTTTAAAACACATAAGGGACAGACAACCCTTTCGGCTCTCCTCCCGCTGTGGGAGCTTTTCTGTCCTCTCAATAAATCCTGCTTTCTTAAAAAAAAAAAATAGGGATTAAGTGTTTTTAACCTTTCCTTATAACTTAAAAAATAATATAATATTCATTAACCACTGCTTGGCCGATACTGTGCTATGTGATTTACACTTGTTCTTACTTACTCTTCATGATAATTTTGTCAGGAAAATACTAATATCATCACTTTACCTATAACAAAACTAAAGCTGGGGAAGTGAAATACACTCAAAAAGGGTATTGTGGTCTGTGATTGGATGAGACCTAAAAGGCAATTGCTACAGAAGTAAAATAGATTTAAGGTGTTTAAGATAGTACACATTTATATACTTATCCTTCTTCCTATATATTCTGGGGCCAAATAATTCTATACACACTGTGAAAAAGCCATAGAATTATAAACATATATAAAATTTTAATAACAAATTAATTTCATAAAGAATAAAATTGCCAAGTCAGAACACATTGCATTCATTTATGTGTTGAATTTTTCTATTACTCTCTTATCCTTGTTCCAAAGTAAGTTTGTTCCAGGAACCAATTCATAATTATTTTTTGGATTTTTTTTTTTAGTTAGAGTTTTATTCCGTTGCCCAGGCAGCATGCAGTGGCATGATCATGGCTCACCACAGCCTTGACCTCTTGGGCTCAGGTGATCCTCCTGCTTCAGCTTCCTGAGCAGCTGGAGCTGTAGGCACTAACCACCAGGAGCCATGGGCACTTACCATCAGGCCAGGCTAATTTTTTTTTCTAGTCTTGTTATATTGCTTAGGCTGGTCTTGAACTTCTGGCCTTAAGCAATCCTCCTGCCTCAGTTTTCCAAAGTGCTGGGATTACAGGTGTAAGCCACCATGTCCAGCAGCATCTTAAACTTTGATTTTTTTTTTTAAGTTGTACTCTCACTCTGTCGCTCAAACTAGAATGCAGTGGCATGTTCACAACCACCACAGCCTCAATCTGCTGAGCTCAGGTGATCCTTCTACCTCAGCCTTCCAAGTAACTGGAACCACAGGTGTGCACCACCACGCTCAGCTAATTTTTTGATTTATTGTAGAGATGAGTTCTCGCCAAGTTGCCCAGATTCGTCTCAAACCCCTGGGCTCAGGCAATCCTCTCACTTCCCCTTCCAAAAGTGCTAGGATTACAGGCACGAGCCACCGTGCCTGGCTGAAATATTTTTCAACATGAGTTTGTTATATTCTTTTTTTTTTTGAGTTGGAATCTCACTCTGTAGCCCAGACTGGAGTGCAGTGGCATGCTCGTGGCCACCACAGCCTCTACCTGCTGGGCTCAGGCAATCCTTCTGCCTCTACCTTCCAAGTAGCTAGAACTACAGGTGTACGCCACCACACCTGGCTAATTTTTTTTTTTAATTGTAGAGACGAGGTCTCACCATGTTGCCCAGGCTGGTCTCGAACCCCTGAGTTCAGGCAATCCTCTTGCCTTGACTTACCAAAGTGCTGGGATTACAGGCTTGAGCCACTGCACCTAGCCAAGTTTGTTACATTCTATAAGCCACATTAAAAAGAAACCATTCATAAATAAGATATGAATATCTGTTATCATTCATGTCCTAACCAACAATTCCTACAGAAAAATCTTCTACTTAAATAACATAATCTCTGTAATTAAAAACCAAAGAAATAATTAATATAACTGTGGGCATCAGAGCATGCCCACATGAAACCTAATCATTTAATGTCTATTTTATAGATGAAGAAGGACAAATGTTAGGAGAAACAAAGATATATAACAGTAGAGCCTGTCATTTTAAGCTACACAAAAGCAAAATTTACCAGTTCTTACTATGCACAGCAAATATACATTCAAAGAAGAATGATATCTACCAAGATTTTTGTTAAATTTGCAGAATACCTTAATAAAAAGCCTAGAAGTCAGGAATGACTGTCAGTTAAAAGAGGGGGAAAGTTCTACAAATAAGTTTTAAACTAAATTCTAAACAAACTAGAGCTACAAAGTAGTATTATTAACTATTAATATTATTCACTATTAATTTTAACTATTAAAAATATTAACTATATTATTATAACTATTAGTATGGCTTATCTAAATAGTGTTAGGAGGAAATTAGTCACTTTGTTTTCAGCAGAATCATAATATAGAATATTAACCTGGATTTATTTACAAAGACATATTGCTGTTTGATTATGTACATTTGGGCTATTTCTCATACAACTCGTTTGTACCTTCAGGACCTACTTGAGCTTCATCTTATGCATAACACTTTCATTTGGTGATGGAGTGCAGCTGTGGATGCCACATTTATTGGATGATAGATCACACAATGCCAAACTGGTGATGGGGGTTCAAGTTTCATGGTAACTTATTGCCCATGGTCAAAAGCTTAGTCTCTAGTAAGATTCAACAGCAGGCCCCCAAGGCTATTTCGGAATGGAGATTATTTCCTATAGAGGGTGGCATAAGTTTACTCTAAAACCCCCGAACTATGTGCTGTGATTCACCTGTAGAGACCTGTCAAAAGCTCCACAGAGTATCCTATCTCTCATAGACATTACAAGGAATATTAGGTCTGCTGAGTTGTAAGGCCCAAGTAATGGAGCATTTTGCTGTTTTTGTTTTGTTTTGTTGAGTTGGAGTCTTACTCCATTTCTTGGATTATTCTCTTAGGTTTCCATCAACATGAGTATGTGTGTTTGCCCAGCTCAACAAGTATTTACTGAGTGGCAATTCTGTACCAGTCACTGTGTTAAGCACTATTATGTCTCATGATCTAAATAGAAACCTTTTCTAAGGCAGTATTGTGGTTTTTGCTGTTATTGATATAGTTATTTTAAATTTGGAAAACTGTCTTGAAAATTAAACTAGTAAAACATAGGTACATGCTCATTATAAAATTAATTAATTCAAAAAAATAGAGATACATATGGAACAAGTTTCCCTTCATCACTGCTCTTATTTTCAGCTCTCCTTCCAGAGGCAGTCAGAACCTTGGGTTTGGAATGCACAATTGGAATAAACACACTTTGCAAATGGAATAATTGCCACATTCGTTTCCCAACTTACAGAGTGAGGGCTCTTGTGGGAAAGTCTGAGTGTAACCAATAGAACTGCCTTTACCTTCAGAAGTGATTGTAATTAAATCTGAAGGGACTGCAGAAATTGATGTATCATCAAGGACTTGAAAGATGCTAGGTGGATGCCTACCAATCCTGCTCCACCAATTTGGCCCTTGCATCTTAGATGGGCCTTGGAGAACTGTAGATGACTGTAAACTTAATCATGTGGCGACTCCAATTGTAGTGGCTGTTTCACTCGTGGCTTGTCGCTGGAGCACATCAACACATTCCCTGGCATCTGTTAGATAGCTGGCAAATGCTTTTGACCTGGCAAATGCTTTTTTTTTTTTTTTTTTTTTTTACTTATGCCTATTGGTGAAGACCATCAGAAGTTTGCTTTCAATGGGCAAGGTCAGGAATACACCTTTACAGTCCTACCTCAGAGCTATATCAATTCTCCAGCTGTGTCATAATCTGATTTGCAGGAAACATGATTGCCTTCTCATTCACAGGAAATAACTCTGCGCCACTATTGATGATATGCTGATTAGACCTATGATCTAAGTAGCAACTACATACACTAGATATGTTGGCCTGAAGGTACAAGCGAGTTGTACAAGAAATAGCCCAAAGGTACATGGTTCACTTTCCTGCCACACTGCCTTTTTTCTCTCAACCTGTATCTATGGCACTATGGAGAATGGCCTATGTGTGACCAGTTGACTGAGGAATTAAAAATGGAAGCCTGAGCCGGGCTCGGTGGCTCAGCCTGTAAT